CCTCAGAACAACATCATGAGGCTAGTGAGGAGCATGAGACGTGGTTGTCAAGCTGTCATTGCGGCAAATGGTGGAAACACCCACTACTGACATCGTCAGTTTTTGTTATTTGGGGCTATTCTTGTTATTGTTTAAATTTTGGGGGGTAATAAATATTAAACTAATGAAAATGGTGTTTCTTCTCATTCATTATTAGTAATATCAAAGGGAACTTTTACTTATTTCATTATAATTCAGACCAAATAGGAAAAGCACTCATGTAAATAACAATATCCCTAACTTATTGTGAGCAGTGTATATATATATTTATAATTTTTCATAGTAGAAGCTGCAAAAAGTGAAATTATAGATGGTATATTTTGGTTTAGGAAAAGGCTAATGGGAAACATAATTAATTGTTTTTTTTAATGAAAAATGTGTGTACACATATAAATACACACACACACAAAAGAAGGTACATTTGTTTGGACAAATATAATGATAACAACAAAAATAGCTCATAAGTTTAATTCAAGAGCCATTTTCCATGGTTTTCTTGATAATAACCAAAATCATTTAAGTTCTTATATCGATAGCTATGGCAGTATGCTGTCAAAAACAGAGCTTTTATGCATTCCATGTTTTCTTTTCTGTCGGTTTGAGTCACATGACACACACAACAGTTAGTACTTGATTGCATAACCGTTGTTTTTGATGAATGCAGCCATGTGTCTTGGCTGCTCTCCACCAGATCTGACATTGTTCTGCTGTCACAGCAGCTCATTCCTGTTGCACTAATTCAAACAAATTTGCTTTGTTTTTGGGTTTGTGTTCTCCAGTTTGTGTTTGATGGTTTTCCACGGGTTTTCAATTGGATTTAGATCTGGTGATTGAGCAGGCCAAGGCATGGGTCCAGTGTTCTGGGTCTCCATCCAGGCTTTGACCCTTTAAGCCCTGAGCTATTTTTCAGGCCTTTGCTCGAAAATGACAAACCCATAATAAGAACAGATTATCTCTGCAACCACAAGGTCTATTTGAATAATTCTTGTGTCATAATAAAAGGAACACTTGTAAGATTTGTTCAGATGTGTAAATATCCGTATATATGTTACTGGTTAAAAGTACATGTAGATGGCACACACACAAATTAAAAAATTTCAGGTTGCCACGGAAGAAAAAGCAGTTTCAGGATAATGATCCAGCTGCAGCTCTAAACCTCTCCCAGATCACAGCACAATATGTGAGCATTCTCCCTGCAAAGGTTGACTCTGATAAAGTGAAGCAGAACAAAATTACAAAGTTTTTCATCCAGACAGTTTAGGCGAGGTGACATTTTATCACACTTGGCACATTTTGACACACTGGTGACCAGTGATGTGCGGTCAGGGGAGGCAGGTGAGCCTCACCTGACATCATGGAAAGAAAAAGAAATATAATGATAAAATAAATTAAATAGTTTTTTGTTAAATTATAATCATTTATCCAGTGATTTGTCCTATAAGGTATGTATTTTTTCATTTAGCCTCATCAGTTTTGATGATTTTTACATTCAAAATCGCAGAATTTTGGCAGTTTCCCATTCAAATGCTTGGAAGAGAAGCCGGTGAGGCAGCGGTGAGCTGAGCCTCACTTGGATTGCACAACCCCTCACTGCAGCCAGCGCAGTGAGGGGTTGTGCAATCCAAGTGAGGCAGCAGCAAGCTCAGCTTCACTTGGAGATAAGGAGACTTTTACAAAAAAGTAACGCATATTTTTGTCCAGAAGGAGCGGAGCATAGACTTCATTTAAAGGTAAAGGTAAGACTGCAATAACTTAAAAAAAAAAAGAAAGAAACGTGCGTTTTGTGGGCTGCAGCTTGTATGTGTAAAGAATGCAGATATGAAACATAACCCGTAAACTGCTGCCAATCAAATGACAAACATGCTGCTGTGTAGAGTGCAGATATTTGTAAATCAGATTCTGATTAGGTCAGTGCCTCACCAGCCATGAACCTCACCGCACCTCACTGCTTGTGACCATCTGAATGTTCTTATGTACTGACTATACATTTGTATTTCACTGATGGTGTTCAATACATCCAAATACAGCAGTCTTTTACTTATTTTTTTAATCCAACCAGGCCGCTGTCTGTGTTGCGTGTGCGGTGCGTAAAAGCTGATTTGACGGCTGTGAAGCTTCTGTGGTGACGCAGGGCTGTATCTCTGTCATGGATTGGTCGATTTCAGTGATTGACACCTCCTTCAATTCGTTAGAGCCAATAGAATATAGCGATAGCCACCAAAACGAGATTGACGGCACTTTTAGATCATCTTGTTGACGAGCCGCTGGCTCGCTAGTGCGCTTTTGGGTCGCGCCCTAAAGCTAATGGAGCCTCCAAAAGACGCCGGGAGTGATTTCCGTGTGACACAGGAAGTAGTACTAACTGATTCAGGTGTGGATTTAAAATACATTTTTCATGGAAAAACAGCCAAGATAAGAGACATTTCACAACTACAGTTTGATGAAGCGGTTTCGGTTTTTGAAGTTCTTTGGGTTGTTTCTCGCTGATGCTTTGGTTTTAGAGAGCTTTGATGGATATGTTTAGAATCTGGGGACTCTCTGCTTCAGTTTGAGGGGATGTTTGTGCGTTTTGCATAATGCACCAAATCGCTGGAGCCAGAAATGTGGTGAGTGGGTTGATGTGGTGGCGCTATGTCGATGTCCATATTTGATAAATCATTTAGTTGGTGTTTGGGGCATGTAAAAATGTCTTATATATTCTTGTAGCCCAGGTTCTGCTGTTTAATTTGATGGGAAGCATCATGATATTCTTTCATGATGAGTACATTGTTTCACACTATTTCTTTTTGTAAAGCCCTCTCGGGCTTTTAACTGACCTTGTAAAAAAAATAATAATAATTGGCCCTGGCCTTTGTGTCTGTATCAACCCATATTTCAGGAGTTGGAGGAGAATAAAGGAGCAACCAGTTTGCCGGAGTTTTATACTGACCAGCTCAGGTCCATGGCTGCTGTGAGTCCCTCTCTAAAGTCTGTTTAAATCCAGCTATTCCAGATTATTAACAAAGACAGATTTTGGTTTGTTACCATTTTCCTGTAGAGAATTTCAACATTGAAGATTTTTAATCATAAAACCTTTGTCACCGTGTCATCATATCAAAAAGTAAACTGCAGATGACAAAGCATAAAACATATTTCATCAGAGCAATTTTAAACATGGTGGCTTTAGGTCTAGCTCTTTGTCATGACAAATAGTGCTAAATATTACATATACAACATGTAGATTTCCTGAGGAGTCAGACACATTTTGACTAAAACCGCTTCATTGTTACCTCCAGTTTAAAAAGTGAAATGTTGCAAAGTGTTAATTTGTTTTCTCTTTCTAGAGGAAAACTCTGCTGGCATTGGAGGATGAGGAAGATCAGGGCCGGGATAAGATGATAAAAGATCTGAACACAGCATTGAGGACACAGCCAATGAGGTGCATGTCCAATTCTGTCACAAGTTGTGCTGAAAATGCAGCAAGAGAGCTTTCACTAGGCTTATTTCATTCCCCCGAACTGTACTGCAGTGACCCAATACACTCAACGTGTGATGTTGACTAATTTTCCCTAGATTTGTGACGCGATTCATTGAGTTGGATGGGCTGTTTTGTATCCTGAATTTCCTCAAGTCAATGGATTACGAGACCGCAGAGTCTCATGTCCACACCTCCATGATTGGCTGCATCAAAGCTCTGATGAACAATTCTCAGGGTAGAGCTCATGTCCTGGGACACTGTGAGAGCATTAACGTCATTGCACAAAGTCTTGCCACTGAAAACATCAAAACCAAGGTACACAGATGCAATGAAACTACATACACCGTGCTTTTGTATGCATTGTGGTTTTTAACATGATATTTTCATCCATATTCCTTGCTGCTTTCTGCTCCTATGATGTTTTTATATTATTCTTCATTCTTTGTAAAGATTATATTCTGCTCCTCCGGCAGTAAAGTGAGCCGCTCTGCATCCAGACTTGTCCATAGTCGCGATTGGTCAGATGCCGATAATGCTGCCCATTTTATGTGCACGCGCTCATACTCCGATCAGACAACCCAGGGCTGACTTATCGAGTTAATAGCCACCGTCATAGGACCGGTTATCCTGAGTGCGATTGTTAGGGTTAGTCAAGCCCTATCTCTGAAAGATATCCTGGATATGTTGATCTGGCTTCGTAGTACAGGCCCCTGGACACTTGTAGATGAAAAGTGAAAGTTCCAGATTGTGGAGAACAGTGGGGTGTCTGTGTACATGTGCAATATCATGCAAGTGTCAAACTATATATACATACATATATATATATATATATATNCATGTTTCTGGACTGTGGGAGGAAGCCGGAGAACCCGGAGAGAACCCACGCTGCACGGGGAGAACATGGAGACTCCACGCAGGAAGAACCAGTGACCTTCTTGCTGCGAGGCAACAGTGCTGCCAACTGCGCCACCTTGCAGCCCACTTTCAAAACATGCTTTTTCATCACCCACTTTGTCTACCTGAGACAATATCAATCAAACTTAAGTTATCTCTATTTTTGTCATGACATTTCTACTGAGTCAAATCCACTTAGCTTCAGTTTGATTGATATTATCTCAAGAAAACAAGAAAAAATATGTTTTCTAAAAAAAAAAGATGGAATTATTTGTTCTGCAAATGAACTCTTCATGTGTAAACTGTGTGCCATACTGAAACATATACATTATGTATCAAGCTATCTTAGTCACACTGACTTTAAAGTTAGGAAATATACCTGATATGAAGACATTTTATTCAGACTAGTTCTTTTTTTTTTTTTTTGTCCTCAATGCCTTTGTAGCTGGTTTGTTTTTGTCATCTGCAACTTGTATCACAATTAGTAACAGGAAGTAAGTACCAGTGTATTTCCTATTAATCTATTTTTATCTCTGTGTAATCAGTAGCTCAGGAGACGTCCCTGCTGTGACCATGGTGTCCCGAGTAAAGCATCCTCAGGGGCGGCGCAGCCTCGCTTCTCTGTTTTCATGCTGCTTCAGAGGAAGTGACCAACCTGAGATCACTCACTGTCATGAAAACAGCATCAATGCTGTGGCTGCACTGGAGCCAACACTTCCCATGCCTCCTGTCCAAGAGCTGAACTCTATGTTCACTGAGCTGGTGGTGCGTATGAGACCACAGTCCATGTTTGTACTTCTATGAGCCTTCAAACAACCAGAATTGTTTACCCACATTTGTTTATCTTCCTCATTCCCCTGTCCATTCTCTCATGTCCTAGGATGAACTGGACCTTACAGAAGAGCACAGAGCTGGTATGTTTGCTTTGCCAGCAGAGAAAAAATGGCAGATCTACTGCAGTAAGAAAACGGTAAGAGACCAAAACTGCTAGAGCTTGTGTGCACTGGCGGTATATAGTAAATTCCCAAGCAGCGGATTTTGTTCAGAAAGAGTCGCTTAACAAATGACATCATGCAAAGTAGTTGTTATTCAATAGCTTGACTGGATGTGTATTACAGATATCTTTGATTCTTCATACACAAAAAGAACATTTCAGATATCCAAATCCTCATCTTCATAGGACAAATAGTGACATTTACCATTCATGTGTTTTTTTCTTATTACATATGTGTATAGTTCTGCTGCAGACACCTGCGACGGGGATTGCAGATATCTACAATTGAATGTAGTATTGATTCCAGTTTTAGATATCCATCCATTATCTGTACACCACTTAATCCTCACTCGGGTTGTGGGGGAGCCTATCTCAGCTGACTCAGGGCAAAGGCAGGGGACACGCTAAAATCATCTGCATTGGGCTTTTTAGATATCTTGAATTACAATGATGTTGTAGATTCTTAAACTAGAATTAAGGTTAGTCAAAATGTGAGTTAATGTGGTTTTGTCAGGGCAGCCTGATGGCAAAGTTTGAGTGAATGTCAGCCTTCAGTCTCCAATGAAAAGAACTTTCATTCTCCACAAACTCTTTGCTGATTAGCTCTTGCTAGCAGTTGTCATTGTTTCTACGGACACTGTTTAAATTCTTTGCTGGAACAATATCCAATGAGAAGCCATTGGCTCATCATGTACAATAACTAAACTAGTCATAGTGACCTCTTCAATGTTCTTGTAATCATAAGGCATAGGCCTGTTAACCAAAACAAGCACAACTCATGCAAAAATATCAGAAATCTATTAAGGATTTGGATGAATGCAGCAACTCTGGCTGTCAGTACCGATACACTTACAATGACGCTCTTCAGTAAGATGTTCGTTCAGATTTTTTTTAAATCTCATGTACAAACTCAGGTATAATGTATTTAACTAAATCTTGGTGGTAAGTTATAGACTTTAGCCTGCTTATTGAACTTTGACTCCACAGTAGGTCTGTTTGAACTAGCCCCGGGTCAGTGGCCTCGCCAGTGTTTCTGGGAAGTGTTTCAAATCTTAGTACAAAATGTAAAAGATTACATTTTTGTATTAAACTACTTTTTGTCTTGACTTTTAAAGACACAAAGACCAATTTACACACTTTAACTCATCCTGCCTGGATTACTGTACAGTATCTTACCTGTACCTGCCTGAACCTAAAGCCAGACGATGGTACAGTCTTCATCACATAAGACTTTTGGTGGGGCTAGTTTTCAAATTATCCATCAGTTTTAGATATCAATAGTAAAGGTACTGAAATATATAATATCTTATGAAAATCATGACCTGTATGAAAACATATGAAAACATTCATATGATTGACAAAGTGTCTCAGCCAATATCAGCTGTGATCAATGCTTTATGGTCTGTCTTCAGCTCTAGCACAGCTTCCAAGCTTGAACATTTTCTTTTTCTTTCAGAAAACCAGACTTTTTAATTTAAGCTTACTGGTGTCCCTTTAGAAACATGTGGGTGATATCCCACATCTCACTGTGTATGATTATAATGTGCATAATGTGCTGTATGTATGATGTAACCCACAGTTAGTTAGTTGACCTCACAGAATGTCTCTCTTTTAAACTGTAAAATTTCTTTACATTTACATAAAAGTCATATACCACATATTATCCACTATATATATAAATATACACTACCGGTCAAAAGTTTTAGAACACCCTAATTTTTCCAGTTATTTATTGCAATTCAAGTTGTGCAAGTCCAATGAATAGCTTGAAATGGTACAAAGGTAAGGNTATATATATATAAAATGCGACACCTTACAGTAATTGCATTACTTTTAAGTTTAACAGTTCGGTATTTATTCCATTTCTTCTTGTTATCGGGGGTTCTGAGAACCCAGGTGCAGACACAGATGGGGGCTTAAAAAAGTTTCCTTTAAATTAGAATGAAACTGAAACCAAAGCAGGATGGGGAGACTATAACCAAACTAAGAAACCCAAACTTGCAGATAAAGCTGATCTAAACTAACCAGAGGGCAGGCCAATATAGCTTAGTGGGGAAAAGTGGAGGTAACTATAGGTGAGAGGAGAGAGAACTGAGGACTAACCAAAAAAGAGCAAAACTACAAAAACCAGGAGATACTCTAAATTAACACCAAGGGGGAAACCTAAGGAAAGTAATGTGAATAAACTAAAGCTAGACCAACAAAACAGGGATTCTCTTGAGACAGGGACTAAACTGAAGGGGGCAGACAGGCTCAGGAAATCCGGAGTCTGGCGAGGGCTGGGAAGGCTGGAGCAGGGCTGCCGGCAGGTACAGGCTGGTTGAGGCAGGATCAGAGCAGCAAGTGTGTGGCAGCAGCTGAAGGAAGGCAGATAGGAGACAGCTGGGGATCAGCAGGGCCACAGGGTTTCATTGTCTATGGTCTGGGACTGTGTGTGGACAAACAAGTCTTTTATGGAGCAGAGGGTGACTGTAGGCAAGTGAGCCGATCCCCGTCTCCAATACCTGCAATTAAGCAGAATGCAAGCAGGACTGGGTGGATAGAGGGAGGGAGAGAGGGAGAGGGAGAGAGGAGGAAGGAGAGGGAGAGAGGGTGAGGAGGAGGGAGCCAGGCTGAGAGAAAGGGAGGGAGAGAGGAGGAGGGAGAGGGTGAGAGAGAAGGAGAGGGTCAGAGAGGAAGAGGACGAGAGAGAGGGAGAGGAGGAGGGACAGGAGGAAGGAGAGGAGGAGGAGGAGGAGGGAGAGAAGGAGGGGAAGAGGAGGAGGGAGAGGGAGAGGAGGAGAGAGAGGGAGAGGAGGAGGGAGAGGGAGAGGAGGAGAGAGCCAGGCTGAGAGAGAGGGAGGGAGAGAGAGACAGTGAGAGAGAGGGTGAGCCAGGCCGAGAGAGAGGGAGAGGAGGAAGGAGAGAAGGAGGGGAAGAGGAGGAAGGAGAGGAGGAGGGAGAGGAGGAGGGAGAGGGAGAGAGAGGGTGAGAGAGGGAGGGGAGGAGGGAGAGGGAGAGAAGGAGAGGAGGAGGGACAGGAGGAAGGAGAGGGAGGAGAGGATGAGAGAGAGGGAGAGGAGGAGGGAGAGAAGGAGGGGAAGAGGAGGAGGAGGGAGCCAGGCTGAGAGAGAGGGAGGGAGAGAGAGAGGGTGAGAGAGGGAGAGGAGGAGAGGAGGAGGGAGAGGGAGAGAGAGAGAGAGACAGTTAGAGAGAGGGAGAGGAGGGAGAGAGAGGGAGAGGAGGAAGGAGAGAAGGAGGGGAAGAGGAGGAAGGAGAGGAGGAGGGAGAGAGAGAGAAGGAGAGGGTGAGACAGGGAGAGGGTGAGACAGGGAGAGGAGGAGGGAGCCGGGCTGGGCTGAAGCAGGGATCCAGACACTTGCTGTGTACCAGTGATCGTAGGTTTTTGCTCATTTCAGCTGCATTGAGTTTCCACTTTGGGCCATATTTTCTTTTCCATTGCTTATCAGAGGAAATTCATGCAACCACTGAGAGTTGATACGATTTGGAATCGTTTGATGTACTCACTTGTCTTGAAGGGAAAGCTCAAAGATACCTGGCTTTGATTCAACTGCCCGTTTGTCGGAGACCAAAAAAGCCGCTGTCACGAGCAGAACAGGCCTTTCACACCTTTTAAAGGAGATTTGACAAGTGAAGCTTAAAGAGAGGTCGTCTGTGACCTCCATACTGTCAGCTTGATCATAATTTATAAGGTATATGGTTCTCAGTAAAACTTAGAGTAAAATATTTTCCATCTTTTCTTTGAACCTTGACTTGCTTGGTGGCAGTCTGCTCCTCAGTGCAGTTGTTGTCATTTTGCTGTGCTTTATGGCATCTCACTGAAACCACCTGCTGGTTTTAACGTCTAAACAAAAGCAGAATTTCAGTTTCGCCATCTTGTGTGCTCATGTGCCAACTTGTTGCTACTTGTTAAAACAATGCTCCATGTGCTACGAGTGGTAAAACGTCAACAGGGTACTTTAAAGAACAGGTTCACATTGTTTTGAAACAGCTGTTAGAAGCCCCTATGAACACTGAAGCCAGTGCTGCCTGCTGTAACCGTTTCTCTTGTTCATACCAGCCCTAACAACAGTCTTCTGGAAGATTGATGTGGGACAAAATCAACATTTCTTGTTCAGTGGAAAAATATACTTTAGGTCAAATGAATATGAGGCTTCAATTGTGTGAGTAAATCAGATCAGTTAGTACACATCCCCTCTCATTAACATCCTTTCACTAAATGTCAAGAGCAAAACATCTTTTCTAAAGAGGGAGACAGACTTAAGGCAGTCAATGTCTCACACTCAGATGAAAAAGTAATACTATCATTTAATGGCAGAAACTTGTGAGAAAATTGACAACAAAACCAAATGACATTATTGGAGAACTGCAAGAGCAGGTGAAGGAACAGAAACAGCACAAAGATAGAAACACAAAAACACCTGTTATTGTCCCATTCTGCTGCGTTGCATCTGATCTGGCAAATGACACAAGGAATGTGGTTAATGTTGTTAATCAGGTGGGCAAGGAAGAAGAACATTTTTCTTTTTATTTGAAGATTTCTTGAGAAACAAAGTGTAAATTTTCCCTTTAAATTCACAATGTTACTGTTAATAGTTTCCCTTTTTTTAAATGTGTAAATAATGCGTCTTCTTTCTCACCATAGGTTTCAGTTTTAGAGATCCTTGGTGCAGTGTGTTTGGTGCCAGGAGGCCATAAGAAAGTCCTAGAAGCCATGCTGTATTTCCAGAAATTTTCCTCAGAGAGAACTCGCTTTCAGGTTTGCCTTTGTTTTGGTGTGTGCTTCATTTAATGATCTGCAAGGAACAGTGCAAGTGTGGGTTCAACAAATTCTCATGATGACCCAAAGCTTAACACATGAAGTAAGCAGTTTCCTGAGGAGAGGTCTCCAGACTTCCCATGAATATCTCATTAACTAGCGACATGTACCTTGTTTGAGGCTTTCAAGTCACACTTGTCCTATTTGAACATTGCTCTCTGCATTGCCTGGCGTTGACTCTTACTCACAGTAGCAATTGCATCATGTTTGTCTGAAGGGATTTGACGCTTAATACAGGAAATGAATTGGAGCCAAGCCTCCCACTTTCAGTGTGTTTTAAAAGAATATGTCAGTATTAACTCAGTAGTAACTCCAAGACGCTACAACCTACGAACTCTTTCAGAGGAGTCACAGGTGTCTTGGTGGCCTCCCTCACTAGTCTCTTTCTTGCTTGGTCACTCAGCTTTTAAGGACGTCCTGCTCTAGGCAGATTTAAGCATGTTCCATATTCCTTCCATTTCTTAATGACAGATTTAGCTGGACTCCACAAGATATTCAGTGACTTGGAAATTGTCCTGACTGTTGCTTTTCAATGGGCAATTTAGAATCACCAATTAACCTCAACATGTTTCTGGACACGTTGAGGTTAATTGGTGATTGTAAATTGTCCGTAGGTGTGAATGTGAGTGTGCTTGGTTGTCTGTCATACAGAAAGATCCCAGGCATCCTAACCAGGACATGAACCACAGATCTTCTAGCTGTAACGGTGCTGACCACCGAGCCACCTTGCAGCCCATAGAAGAACATATTTTATAGTAATATAACCTGAACATTTTCTGCTTCGTGAGCAGAACCTGCTGTCGGACTTGGACCGATCCACAGGCCGCTACAGAGATGAAGTTCATCTGAAGACTGCCATCATGTCTTTTATCAATGCTGTGCTCAGCCAGGGACCTGGAGAGGTGAAGAATGCCTGTTTCTCTTGGATGAAAATAAGTAAATAAGTCACTGTGCACACTGCTCAGTGTCATTGGGTTATCATATCTGATGGCTTCAGCTAGTTTAAGTTAGTTTACATGGACGTTGAGTGCAGTGTGAGACACTGTGTTCTATTTTTTTCCTGTTAGATCTGTTTATGTTCCAAATAAAAAAAATGTAGCTGAATTTGTTTAATCTTCTTTCATCAGTCTTATCTTTTCATATTGTCTAACAAAAATGTGGATTTGTGTTTTCAGACTCGTCTGGAGTTTCGTATCCATTTACGTTACGAATTTCTGATGTTGGGCATTCAGCCGGTCATTGACAAACTACGTTCCCATGAAAATGCCACCCTGCACAGGTACGTCAGGTGCACCCAAAGGTGCAAACCTTTTGCATCTATAATACTGTTAAGGTAACTTACAAAAAAGTTATAGGACATGGAGTCTTATCTGTACTGTGACATCCAATTTAAATAGCTTTTAAGCTCAGTGTTGTGCTACTGTAATGTTTCAGGCATCTGGACTTCTTTGAAATGTTGAGAAATGAAGACGAGGCTCTATTGTCCAAACGCTCTGATGTTGTAAGTCATTCAGATAAAGAAATATATTGTTCAAGTTTTGAGATGATCACCTTGAGAATGCTGAACTTTCAAGGATGAACTGATCAAGCACATTTTTGATTTATAGCACAAAAAAGGATTATAACATATACCACAACTTAAATGGAACTTTATGAATCCTTGGAAATTAAAAACTAAATATCACTTGCTGCATATTATAATTCCAAGTGAAAAGTCATACATGACAAAGAAATAGTGTGTTCCAGTGCTCCTTGATAATGAAACACACCAGCTCAAATTCCACATTACATTTAGTTTTGATGAACAGATGTTGGTTTGGTGTGTAATGTGTTGTTTATCTGGTGATTAATGTGTATTGCTACATTGCCTCAGGGCCACATAGAGACCAAAAGTGCCAGCCAGATGTTTGAGCTGATCAAGAAGAATCTAAACCACACTGAAGCTTACCCTCATTTCCGATCTGCGTTGCAGCACTGCATCATGATGCCATGTAAGACTGGCTGCCTGCTATTTACTTTATTATTCTGTCTTTTCACAAAAATGATCCATGACAGTTGCAATGTTTTTGATGAGTTATCTCATTTCTTTGTGTCTGCAGATAAACAGAATAGTACAACACTTGAGTACTGGGTGATACTGGACCGGATAGTACAACAGCTGGTTCTGCAAACTGACAAAGGTGAAAACCCTGATGTCGCTCCACTTGAGGACTTTAACGTTAAAAATATTATTCACATGTAAGTTTCCATGGTTTCTACATTAAAGACCATTTTTGGCAGCCCTTTGGATGGCAAAAGGCTTATCCATCTCTCTATGATATGCACTAAAAAAAAAATGGTGATGACCATGTGCACAACATAGCCGCCATTTATTGCAAATCTTTCTATGTAAAATTAAATCTTATGATGCTTTTCTTAAACAAAGAAACCTTATTAATTACATAAGTTGTACTCCATAATTCAATAATTGATTGAAGTATAAAGAGACTGATGGTGCTTGGAAAACTGTTTGAATGTTTGTGTGTGTTTGTGTTCTTAGGCTGGTCAAAGAGAACGAGGTCAAACAATGGAAAGAACAAGCTGATGTAATGAGAAAGGGTAAACACACGCATATATTAATGCTCCATGCCCAGTGAGATCCCAGTGCCCTCACTGGGACGCGAACCAGCGACCTTCTTGCTGCAAGGCAACAGTGCTACCCACCGAGCCAGCTTGCAGCTGTTAAATCATATAAAAGGGGCAAATGGAGACATTGGGTGGATTGGTCAGTTTGAGCAAATGTTTACATACACTTGTAAAGACCATGTATACCGTGGCAGTTTGGCCACGGGAACATGTAACTAAATATTAGCACAGCTGTATGTATACTTGTGAGCCAGCAGATTTCATCATATTTGAAGACCTGCAAGAAGTCTATCACAGAACCAAAAAAAATGATAGTTTATTTAGTGACAAACACTCACGGTCTTTACTTTTACTGCAGGTTAGCAAATACAAAAGAATGATTAAAAAACAATGACACTTTTAATTAACCTTTAGAGAAAGTTTATGATCTTTACAAATTCACCTTCTCTCTCATGGGAATGAACCCTTAGTAAGGCATTACTGGCATCACTGTGTAATTAGCACAGCAAGTGGGTCAGGGTCCAAGCCCCCGACTCAAAACTACATCATGGTAAATAAGTCAGGATTCAGAAAGTCATGTTACTGGTTGTTGTCCTCGTTTCTGCACATTTATTTTCCTTTCAAGTACTGCATGTTAAATAATTCAACCCTAGTTTTTAGAGTCAGAACAAGTCAAAGCTTTGAGCTATTTTCATGTTCTCTTCCTGTCAGAGCATCAGAACTTACAGCAGCGTTTTGAAAAGACAGCGAGGGAATGTGAAGACAGAAATAAGGAAAAAGAAGACATGATGGCAATGCTGAACAAGATGAAAGACAAACTGGAACAAGAGAACAACAGCCACAAGCAAGCTACACTTCAAGTAGCAGAACTATCTGGTCAGCTGCAGCAGTTCAGCTCAGTATGTCCAACACAGGATACATGTGTGAGCTAGAAATGCTACGGCTCAGGATCAGTCACACAAACATAACTGTTTGCATTTTGTTTTTTGGATAAATGTTATGATCTACAAGCTGAAAAGTACCGAGAATCACAATAACCATTTGTGTCATCATCTCTCTACTCATGATGGATACAGCTTTGATGAAATAATCTTTTCTCCTGCTCTCCTATTAGACTCCCAGCATTCCAGGAGGCCCTCCAGTGACATCCAGGAATTCAGTTCCTCCAGATCCCATCCCACCCACCTCTGCTCCTTCGCTTTCTCCTCTTTCTCCTCCTCCTCCCCCTCCTCCACCACCTCCTCCTCCAGGAGGCCCACCAGTGTTTGTCATGGCTCCATTTGCCCCACCTCCAGGAGCTTCACTAGGAACAACTTGGAAGAAGAATATTCCTCAGCCATCTAATCCACTGAAGTCATTCAACTGGAGTAAACTGCCCGAGGTACACTTGTTGCCTGTTATTACTAATGTTACTTCTTCTATCACTACTTGCTATGTGTGGATAAGGAAATTGTAAAGCATTTTGAATACCACTAAGGTAGAAAAGCGTTACATGTGCAGACCATTTACAGGCCGTAACAGCGAGCAGACATGGGAAGCTGCATACTACATACAAGATACAGGTGTAAGTGAGATGCAAATGTTCAATATTTTTTCTAAAATGATATAGCTGTCACCAGGATCTGCAATTTGATCCATTATCATCAGTATCATCATAGTTTACAACATACGTCATCTCTTCACATAGTAAGGTATAGACCTTAAGAATTTAACCAGAGAACCCAACAATCCAAAGTTGCAAGCTGTCGGCAACGGTGGGAAGGAATTAAAAAAAAACATGAACAAGACATGCTTAATCATAGCCACATGTTAACAATGAAGACATAAAGGAAGAAAACAAGAACCAATGTACACATTCTTTCTGCATAATTATACAAATGTATTTTCCACTAAGAAGCTTCTGTACATAAAAGCATGAGTTTGCTTATCTGTAGTTTTCCTCATTTACATTTTCATTCCAATTTATTTAGAAAGTATTCCAAGACAAATGCTTAGTTTGCTGTTTTCATACCATTTGCTCACATAAAAACGTAGTGTACCCTGGCAGTCTTCTTTGGGAGTGAACAGCTGTGAGATGCAGCTGAGATTGCTGAAAAAAAAATCATCTATATATCTGGATCTATAATAACGGTTATGCTCACTGTAGTATTGTTGGTTTCAGATCAAGATAGAGGAATCCATATGGATAGAGATTGATGACCTCAATGTATTTAAAGTACTGGATCTTGAAGAGTTCCAGAGGATGTTCTCAGCTTACCAGAAGCCACAAGTAATATATGACACACTTATATCTCTGCCATGTTGACAGTCAGTATGATTCATTTAGGCTCTGTCACACAATAAAATGCAGTCTATGACTTGATGGTTACATACAGAAATGACAGAGTTCATAACCAGAAAACCAAATGCAA